CTCCTTACGTGCTGGCTGCCAATGTCGCATTATCTAGTCGGCAAACAGAGCTCACCCACCCTCGGCCCCAATCAGCCACAACAAAGTGTCCCTGGGGAGCCACCTGCCAAGGAGAGCAGCAGCCAGCCTGGACGTCAGCTGGAACAGAAACCCCGAGAGCTGGCCCGCAGCCCGGCAGCGCCTGGCAGCACCCACACCTGCATAGGTCGGTGCCCGGGCCTAGGCGGAGGCAGGGTGGCGACAGTGGGAGTGCGCCTGGGATCCCCTGTCCAGGTCAGTGAACAGTTCCTGCGCCCCCAGCCAGCAGCTCGGTGCTCCCTCGTGTGGGAGCCCAAGTGGGTCACAGAGAGGGACAGCAGGACTGGGGCCTCCCTGTGGGAGGAGGGGGCGGGACCGAACGGCAGCGCCTGGCTCCTCCTCGAGGACCCAGGACCGGGGCCTCCTGTCTCAGCTCCGCAGCTGTGGACGCCGCGGGGGGGGGGGCTCCTGACCGAGCGCGAGCGCCGGCTACGTGACTGTCACCTGCTCTGCATTTTACGCCATCTGCCCCATTCCCGTGCCCCTGCTGCGGGAGCGGGAACTGTTATCACAGAGGGCACACCCACATTTCCACCGCCAGCAGCAGTACAGGAGGAGGTGGGATTTGAACCCGGACCTCGGCCTGCAGGTCTGATGCCGCACAGCCCCCACGAGGCCTCTTGACCACAGCTGCAAACCGGGAGCCACCTGGAGGGGCGAGGACCGTGACCCCGAACATCCCGCGCGCCTCGAGATCTATGCTTTCGTTCACTGCGTTACTCGTTTCTTCCTCCAGCGCTTCCTATGGTGCCGCGTGCATGGGCCGCGAGGGACAGAGGACGAAAACGGGGTGCGGAAGGCGCCCAAGCCCAGCCAGGGAGAGTGCGCATGCGCAGGGCCCACGGGCTCCCTCGCGGGTTGGTCGTGGGACCCGGAAGCAGAGAGCCACGGTTCCCATGGGAGAAAGGCTGTGTGGGAGAAGGGAGCAGTGCCTCTTTGCATGGAGCGGAAGAGTGGCTGGGTTTTCAATCCTGCATGGCTCCTGCCCCTTCACGCAGAGCGCCACGCTGCCCCTCAAACCTTGGCCTTGGCCAGAATATAGAGTCGGAGGCACTCAGTGAACTTCTGAACCGAGGACAGTGGTGACCTGGAGCTGCCTCGGGGCTCCAGAGCGTCTTAAATGTTGAACTGGTCTCGCCTAGGGATTGGGCTGTCAAAAAAGAAACAGCTGTTTATCAGGAAGTCTAACAGAAAAGCTAACAATTAGGTGTGGTGGCACATGCCTGTGGCCTCAGCTGTTTGGCAGGCTGATGCAGGAGGATCACTGGAGCCCCTGACTTTGAGGCCAGCCTGGGCAACAAGGTGAGACTCCTTCTCAAAAAAAAAAAAAAAGACAACAACAACAACAAAAAACGTAGCACATGCTTCACTTCGGCTAATGGAAATCACTTTTCAAATCAGTCCCAGATATGATGTATACGTTATGAAATGTATGCAATTCATGCCCTTGGTAGATTCAAAAATTCTAGAACTTATTCACCCTGTTATGTTTTAATATTTGGGAAAAGCGAAGCATTTTTATGCTTATTTAGAGATTTGATGGACTTTGCAGAAGATAATGGACTTCATTTGAGTCAAAGTGGGAACAACAGCAGCCCAAGTTTACAAACAGGCATCTGTCTGCAGTGCCGCCCCGTTCTGCTGGTGAACCCCAGGCCTGAGAAGAAAGCCGTGTTTGCCCTGAGACGACAGGAAAGTCAGCGTCTGGCTGGGAAATTAACGTGCAGGTGGGTCATGCGAGATACTTACTTGTGCAGGGCACTCGTGCACGGGGTTGCTGTTTGAGCCAAGTGTGTGCTCTGCACACGAGTGGACAGGGACACCCGGAACAGCGGAGCATCTGGGCGTGAAGACGAGGGAGCCTGACAGGGGACTCGGGCTGGGGCCTTGCGCCTCCTGGGAGATTCACAAACAGCAGCAGAACTCGAGCTTGTTCTCCCCAGGAGGCTGCGCCTTACGAGAAAAAGGCAGCTTCCTGGTAACGCGAGGCTCCAGCCTGTGTTCCTGGTGGGGGAAGTCGGCGGCATATTTGGGGTGTGTGTGTGTGTGTGTGTGTGCGCGCGTGCCATGTATTTCATCTTTGCCTCATTCCCAGTCCAGGAGGCAGAAATCATGTCCAGACTTTTAGAGAGTGCTGATTTGTTTTAGGCAAGTTTGGCTCCTTGAATGAGTGTTATGACAGTGATGACATTGTCAGCATCGGGTGGGTGTAAAAACATTGAAACTGGTTCAGTAAAGGAAGAGATGTCTTTCAGGGTCTCACACGTAGCCCAGGCTGGCTTCGAACTTGCAGTGATCCTCCTGCCTCAGCCTCCTGAGTGCTGGGATTACAGGTGTGCACCACTAGAGATGTCTTTGGTTACAGGGCCGGGGGCACACAGGGACCCACGCAGTGACGTGTTTGTATCTTTCACTTTTCGACCTTTTTCCTCTTGAATGAGGTTCGTCTCCTCATAGCTGTAAAATGTGTGCAACTGTCAGTGGAATGCCAGAGGGTGGATGATTGCACGAGTAGGTTGCTATTGCCGATTCTATTGGGCAAAGCGGCCCATGAAGTGTTCTATCATGTTTTTCTGTTCTTCAAACAAATTTCCTTCAAAAAATGTGAAAAAAACTCTTTAAATAATTTTGTTTTTGGATTTTGATCTTTCAAGATTTTGACTTGAGTTTTTGAGAATGTCGACGTTTGGGATTATGATATTTGGGACTGTGTCCTTTTCCATGAAGGCCCTGTCCATCCCTGACCTGGATGGTGTGACTCAGATAGGACCGATGGGGAAGAAAGGAGCAGATCGAGGTTAGGGCTGGGGCTGGGGTGCAACTCAGTGGCACAGCTCATGTCCGGCATGTGCAAAGGCCCTGAGTTCCACCTCAGCATTCCCCCGACTGGGGCCTGACTTGGACAGAACCAGAGCAGACCCAGTGGAGCCAAGGCAGGAGTGGGGAAGCAGGTGATACCCACCATGGTGCCACGGCAGCAAGTTCTGGAGCGCGGAGCCGCGCGGGAGCCGGATGCACCCGGGTGTGGGCACAGTCCTGGCGTAGACCTTTCATAGCCAGGCCAGGCACAGGTGCTAACCCAGGAGCTGTTCTTTTTCCATGTTTGCATGACTCACTTCACAAAGTTTCAAGGAAGGAAAGAGAAGGAGAAAACCCTAAGTTGCGTGGCCCAGGATCACGTCTGAAGAGATTTGAGGAGGAAGGATTTTCAGGGCTGCTACCCCCATGTGAATCAGTGTACACGATTCTGATAAAGTCTGTGCCCTCAGAGGCTGTATTAACAGGAGCATTGTGACCAGGGCTGAGGAGGTGATAAAGCCTCTTCCCACATCACTGGTCAGATCCCAGGACTGTTTGTGTCCCGTGGCTTCCATATCTTAAGCACAATGTTGAGAAACGCAGGTATGAGCTGAGCTTCCTAATAAGGGATGAGTCACTGAGGAGGAGGCCGCTCCCTGTCCCTCGGAGGCTGCAAGCCTCATTTGCCTGCGCCAGAGCCTCCCTCAGTGGGGACGGAGGTTTCCTGTTAGCCAGGCTGCTTCTGGCTCTGAAGTCCCTTCTGCTCGAGGGCTAGGGCGTCCCGGCCTGGGGCTCGCTCGGCTGGAAACTTGAAAGGGCGGCGCCCGCCTCCGTGGGCCCAGGGGCTTCTTCGGGCGGGCAGCAGCCCGAGCTCGGCTACGCGGGCCTTGGAGGACGCCGAGCCTGGTGCCTGCGTGCGGCCGAGGGCAGCGGCCGGAAGCCCGGTCGGTGGGCGGGGGTGGCGCTGCCTCCGGTCCAGTCTTCAGCCCGAGCCCGGGCGGGTGGTCAGGGCAGCTGGCTGGGCCCTGCGTGGGAGAGGCTGAAGGGGCCCGGCCGGTGCCCAGGCCTCTGCCTGGAGGCGGCCCCTGCCCTGGGCTGAGCCGGCTCCGGGGTGGGGGAGCCGGAGCTGGGGACGTCGCGGCCCGCGTGGGCAGCGCAGCGCGGGAAGGGGAGGCGAGGACGCAGCATTGCGAGAAGACTCCGGGACCCGGGACCGGGGCAGCGGGCATTGGGCGGGGCACTGGGGCCAGGGACACTGTGTCCTGGGCGTGTGCGGCGCACCCGGACAGGAGCGGGGGCGCTGGGGCGTCGAGGGCCTGTGTCCTTGGCGCTTGGCTCCTGTCAGAAAGCAGAGCAGCGCCCCACGGCGCCTGTCACGCGCAAAACCATCACACTTCCTTTGGAGGCAGCTTCAACATAAGATAAATCACACGCAGAGAAGCCGCGCGGGCGCCGGAGAGGCCCTTCCCTGTCTCCTTGGAGGAAGCGGCCGCTGGCGCCCACCCCGCCCCGGGTCTGCTGCACACAACTGTGACCCCTGCACACCTGCGGTGGCCGTGGGCCCAGTCTCGCTGTGACCTCGAAGTTCTGCAGCGACCTCGGCCAGAAAACCCGCACGGCCACGGGGCGCACCTGCCGTTTGTGGGGAGCTCAGTCCTGCCTGGGCTCTCGCGGCCTGAGTGGCTGAGGCTCCCGGTCACAGCCTGGGCGACTCTCGGCCGACTGGGGTGACACTTGGGGTGACAGCGGGGCGGAGCGTCTCCCGCCTGTGCGTGTGGCGTTGGCTCCATGAACGAATCCGCATTTCACAGCCCAAGAGGTGGCAGATGTGACCGTGTACCCTTTCCAGGGACGCCAGCCCCCGGTCAGAGCTGGGAGGGATGCGGCCCACACGTGCACCCCGCCTCACCCCGTGTCAGCAAGCTCGGGCTGCAGGGGATCCCCCACCCCACACACCGGGTCGCCCGCCAGTCCCCGGAGGGCGCGGGCAGGGGTGACACAGCCGACTGGTGTTACGCAAGCAAAGCAGAAGAAAACCAAAGCAGCCGTGTGGGCCGCAGAGTGGCAGGCGGACAGAGGGAGGGCGGTGAGCTCTGCTCGCGGCAGCCCCCGCCCGGCCGTACCTGTGGTCTCCACCAGCAGCTCCTCCGTGAACTGGACTGCCCGCGCCACCTCCACCCAAGGGAAGCCTTTGCCCGCCGCGAAGTGGACGCTGTCATGGAGGGCGTCCCGCAGAATGCTCCTGCGAGCGGCCCGGGCCTCACCTAGCTCCTCCCCGTGCAGGAGTCTTCGCAGGCGCTCCCGGCCTCGGCCTCTCTGTCTCTGCAGAAATCAGACGCCCCCTTACCGAGAGACACCGGGGTAGGGCACACACCAGCTCTCCAGAGCCGCAAGAGGCACCCGGGGTGTGGAGCACCCGGGAAAAATTCCGGTCTGGTTTCTAGACAGTTCCCCACCACCACCTGCCTGTGGACCCGTTCTTTTTTGCAAGAGCTCCTCTTTCTCTGGAGTTCTCAGCCCTGCCACTGGAGCCCCAGGTGTAAATGCTTCCACAGGCTTCAGGTTCTGAATCATGGCCTCTCTTCTCCCTTCCCGAAAGCAAAAAATTGACTTCCTTTCTAAACTACTGTATTTTCTTTTTTGTTGTTGTTGTTAAATTCTTTATTGGTACATTGTAGGTATACAACACAATTACATTTCTCATTGGGAATTGTACCTTTATACAATGCATCTTGGTTCTTATTTTTTCCCCATTCCCAGCCCTCCCTTCACGCCCTCCACCCTTCCCTATTTACAAAGACTTTATTTC